ATATGTATATATAAGTATGTATATATATACATATTTACAGATGTAGCACAAGCGTGCAAATTGTGGTACAATGCAGCATGCAACAGCGTATAATTATACTATATATAAAATTTGTATACATATACATATATACAATACTGTATGTATATTTATGCGGCTTTTTATATTATATGTACATGTGTACTGGAAAGGAAAGCCAACTAACGGCCGACATGAAAAATAGATTTCTCTATAAAGAAAAACACGAATGCATGTGTGTTTAATTTTCAAACAGTTTCGCTGAAAAGTATGGAGCTTATATTAATGTAATCTGAGTAGGATCCAAACTGTCTTCTATATATGTACATACATATACTCCGTATTTCTGTAGAGTATTCAAAAAATCACAAACTATAGTCCATCCAATGGATTCAAATCTGGACTTTTAGACGACCAATTATCTGCGGCTATAAAACCAAGAATTTTTCTGGTTGTGTGCCGGAAAAGAATCTTGCTGAAAGATCCCATTTCTCCATCGAAGATAATATGGCTCAACTGCTTTTTTTTACCACGCCTTCTACATCTTGCTGGTATACTTTTGCGCAATTTTAACGCTTTGGCCCTTGGAGTCTCCTGGACATAACCAAATTATTATACTTTTTATTAGAATTAAGGGATTTATAATTTTATTTTTGAGTTTTTAATCCGGTAATTGGAATAAAACTTTTTTAATCCGATATTTGGAATTTAAAATTTATTTACACTTTATTTTTTAATCTAATACTTGAGATTTTTGGGATTGAAAAAAAGTTTAATTTTAAATAAATGATTTTTAATGCATTATTGGCAACCCTGAATTTATCTAATACAATTGTTTAGTGAATAGTATACAAATTTATGCACATATAGTACATATGAACATACATGTATGTACATATATTGCAGATACATACATATGTATGTATTAAGAATTAAAAACAAGATTTATGTAAGCACAAAAATGTATACAGTTATTAGAGAATAGAAACGGGCTGTGTTTGATTGAAATGTACAAATCTACATCACTTTGCAGCAGAAAATGATAAATTGATAGCCCTTATGTATTTCAATAATATGTAATAAAAATAACCAGCACAACTAAAAATATTTTCAAGACTTGTAAATTGTTAAATGAATGTACCCAAAGCAAAACTTTACAAAACAGAATTTATGATAATTATTGACATAAATAATCAACAGTCATTAGAATGCAATCATTTGCAAAAAAAAAACGACTGCTTGTGTGGAATGTAGTAAATCAAAACGCTCAGTTCGAATGTACCAAAGCTATTATATAATACCCTTGACATGTGCATTTCTTACAGAAAAAAAGGGGATAAAAAGATATTTTATTTGCCAATTTTGATGTTTTTCGTTTGTTTCGGAAAGCCTCCGACCAATGGTCTATTTTATTTTATTTTAAGTTGCAAACGCCTCATAGTCATTTTAGGCTTTGTGCCGGTTTCTTTCTATACATAATTGGTATAGTTCATAGCCTGAGGTTCACCCGCACTACATCTTTTACACAGTTTTGTCCAATAGTCTGTATTCTTTCAATTTCTTGGATTGAAGTAATTTTCTGGAATCCTCAACGGGAAATTTAATAAGTGCTGATTGGGTGTCTTTATAGAACTTTCTTAGGCTGTTAATAGCTGTGTTCGTCAGATCGTTGCTACCAAACCCTCTCTGCTGCTCAGAGAGAACTTCTTCCTTGGTTGTAATATCATTCAAGTGTCTACTCTCTACAAACGAATGTACAATGTCGGTTAAAACTCATTGGACTAACTCGAGTCTCACACATGTTTCGTCATAACTTTTTAACGTTAGAACATTTTTTTGATTGCATAGCATCTTCTATATTAAGAAACAATTCAATTTTATTTGTCAATTTTGATGTAAAATTTATAAATTATAACAGAAGGGAAAAAGATAACGACATAATTCATTGGACTACCACTTTGATTGGCCAAATAAGTACATCCAATGAATGAATTTACCGTTTTCTTGCAGAAAAAGAATGTTGCAGGCACTCCGAATTTCTAATCGTAGGTCAGACTTGTTCGAATTATTTGCTATAAAAAGAACGTGTTGTGAAAATATATAAATATTTTCCGAATAAAGCTACTAATAATCGTGTTAGATAAAAAGGGTTGATACAACACATTGAACTGAACTTAAATTAATAACAGTAAGCAAATTCACAACAGGTATGCGGTAAAAGGAGCTTTACACTAAATATTCTCTGGGGAAATCAAGTATTTCTGTTACTTTTCGAAAAAACAAAGCTGATGGAACCGGATCAGAAAAAGACATTGTAGATAGCTTACAACTACGTATGATTACGCGTACAGAACAACGACGCACCTTTGATGTTGTTCTATTTAGCTTCCGTGCTTCGAAAAAAACATATATTTCCAAAAAAAATCAATTAACAAATTTGTAATTTGCGAAACTTCATATCAATTGGTCTGTAGAGCAATGGAAATCAGTATTATTTTAAGAGCAATTCAAATTAATTTTGCAGACTTCAGATGGAATGATATGTGTACGAAGACCAAAAGAAAAGCGATAATGACCCCAAACACACATTGAAGTTGTGAAGGATTGGCTGTTAGAAGAACAAGTTTATGTTATGAGATGTCCAGCTCGGTCCCCTTACATAAACCCGATTGAAAACTTATGTCAACAGGTAGATTAACAGTTTCACGGTAATAAAAACAAGCTATTTGATACCTTTAAACGAGCCTGGAATGGCAAACATATTAGTTATTTAAATTCATTTATGAGTATAAAATGTGCTGCAATCATTAAAAATAATGGCTACCCAATAAAATATTAATTTGAAACCAATTTATTGTCATATTCAGCTAAATCCAGTGAGTTATCTCGCACGATGCGATCTTTCTTTTGCAAGTATTCTTCTAATGCATATAAGTATGTAAAAAGTTATGACGGAACATGTGTGAGACTCGAGTTGGTCCAATGAGTTTTGTCCGACACTGTATGTGTATACAGAAAAAAATCTTACTCAACAGTTCTGATGTTATAAATTCAATATATTCCAAAGGTAAAAGAAAAAATGTTCTAGCATGTGAAAATTCAATGCTAACAATACTGCAATCAATTTTAATAACTGATGTAGAGCTGCCTACAAACATACATTAACATGTATTTATATCGCTCGGCGATTTGTTATTGCGCCATTAAAAAGTAAATTATCGTCTACAAAATAATCGTAATTTTCAGCGAATGCAAATTTTTAATAACCACTGTGATCTTACAGCAACAGCAAACAAATCATTGCAGAGAAAGTTGAACATGTAATTTGACTATATAAACATGTTTGAATTGAAAACAGAGCAGACAAATTAAAGCGACTTTGGCAACACAGCTGTGCTGGCACACATACATACATATGTATTTATCCCTACAAATATGCATTCATTAAATAAAAGGCATATTTTTATACGTAAATAAAACGGCTATTCGATGACCTTTGCTATCACCGGTTGCAACGTGTCCATTAATATGTAAACAAACACATATCACTTGACAGCATTTGAAGCGCTGTCGATAAATGTAAATAACCTAACGCTAACAAAGCTTTATATTTAAAATGATCAAGGTTATTTCAACGTTCCAGCAATACATCTATTGCTCCTCCATACTTTTGCCATTTTTGGATAATTTTTCTTATCCTTCAGCACATAATATGGACAAATTGATAAATCAAATTATTATAAAGAAAATAAAAACGTATACATACATACAGACGTGTTCGAAATAATAAGAACAACCAAAGTGAAAATCGAAATCATTGAATAAAATTTTCTCAGTAATATTTTATTGAACCTTTTTTTCTTAAAAAATKTATACATATTGTGAGTATTAAAAAAATTGAAAATCTGGTCATCAAATACGCACTAAC